GAACTGTATTAATTTTTTATTAGTGTACTTCTTTTTAAATGTTCTTAATTTATAAAATGTACATATTTATGCTATACGATATTTTGAAATATATAATATGTACATTGTACAATGGCTAAATATAGCTAATTAACATATGCATACATTAATCATCATTTTTGTGATAAGAACACAGATCTACACTTTTCATTTTAAAAATGCAATCATGCATATTATGATTAGCTATAGTCAAAATCTGCATAGTAGATCTCTTGAGTTTATTCCTTCTAAGTTAATAATTTTAATACTGTTATGAATATATTCAAAAAAATGTTCAAAACCAAGAGAGAACTTTGACTATAAGTCCCCTGGAAAGGTGACTTTCTTAACTCAAAGGCAGCATAAATCCTGTTCACATGAGATGCTTACATCAACTCAGTCCATGCCTTCTACAGAGAATAAAACAGACCCACATTTTCTATCAACCATTAGTATTTTAGGCTTTTATGAACTTATAAAATTTATTTTCCTCCTAATGAAATAAACTATACACTTGCAATTGACCAAGGTCAATGACTGATGATTAACTATCACTATCTACTTCATCCTTAGTTCAACTTATTGTCTATTCTAATTTGTTTTAATACTTATTTTGCTCACTACATATTTTAACAATAAACTATTTTCACCCTCTTCACCTGTTCATTTATTTCTTCATCTACCCTTGTTTCTTTTACAGAAATATTTTTAAAATTCATGAAGAAAATTTCAGATGTTTATTTATTTTCTTCTTAGTAAAATAAACTTTAAAAATACAATTGACCAACAGCAATGACTGACCATTACCTGTCACTGTCAACTTTAAGATATAATACATCTGGTCAATTTCTTATCTAACCTATATTCTTAAGACATATTAGCAAGTATCTAATATTTGTTTCCTTACCACATATTTTAATGTTTCACCTACTTCATCTTAATTCTATATACTTCTTTATTCATCCTGCCTTTGACTCTTTTACAATAATGTATTAAAATTCATGAAATAAAAGATAAGAAGATAAGAAATCAGATCCTACTATTCATGGACATCTGTACATAGGATAGGATGATGGGGGAGACTGTTGAGATTCCTTGCCATTGGACCTCAGAGTTCCAGACACACGGTGCTCATCATGAGTGACTCGTGCACCACCAGTAGTCATCATATGCCCTGGATTGGCCCCCTCTGTCTATTGCCATCTACATTGGTTTAATGATTAGCTCATGTGGAAAACACATAAATTGTAAAATACAATAATGGGTGTCCTAACATCCCTCACATCCACACACAGATTCAATTAGTCAGAGACTAAATATCTTTACTACTATCATCAGTCTTCCATTTAGGGAACTGTCCCTTTACTGCTTCTAACACTCTGATATTAAAATTGGGATGTTTAGAATTCTGTGACTTTAAAATACTTATTGTATTTATACACAGTGGAATTATATACAGCCATGAAGAAGAATGAAATCTTATCATTCGCAAGTAAATGGATGGAACTGGAGAACATCATCCTGAGTGAGGTTAGCCAGGCCCAGAAGACCAAAAATCATATGTTCTCCCTCATGGACATTAGATCAAGGGCAAACACAACAAGGGGATTGGACTTTGATCACATGATAAGGTGAGTGCACACAAGGGAGGTATGAGACAGGTAGGTAGCCCAAAAAAACAAGATAGTATTTGATGTCTTCAGTGCAAAGGAAGTAATGCAGAAACTTTAAAGCAACAGAGGCCAATAGGAGAAGGGGACTAGGAACTAGAGAAAAGGTTAGTTCGAGAAGAATCAATTTAGAATGCAACACATATGTACATGGAAGCAATGCTAGGAATCTTCCTGTATAGCTATCCTTACCTCAACCAGCAAAAACCCTTGGTCTTTCCTATTATTGCTTATACTCTCTCTTCAACAAAATTAGAGATAATGGGAAAACAACTTTTACTTGGAAGCAAGGGGGTTAGGGGGAAAAGTAGGAGGTGAGAGGAAAGGGGGGAGTAATGTCCCAAACATTGTATGCACATATGAATAAAAGAAATAAAAAGTTAAAAAAGAGAAGCCTTAAAGAATTTATCTATAAAATAAAATACTAAAACCTTTCCAATGACTCCAACAAAGACAAGAACATTGACTATTTCTCACATCCACCACAGGCTCTAACACAGAGGTGCAAGCCATGGGCTAGTGACCACAGAAGAACATGTCAGTACACCTGAGAATGTCCAGGCTAAGGAGCACAGAGCAGAGAAGGTGATAAATAGGACAGCACTCCATGGACATTTGAGCTTTGTCTTTCATTTGGTCAGTTATGCAGGCAATCATTATTTGGAGAATATTCATTTCCTTTTCTTGTAAAGGGATCATCTTCAAACTTCACTGACCCAGAACGTAAATACTCTCTGTAATTTATACTGACTACATCATCCTTAGTTAAAACCTTAACGGTCATATGCCATTGACTTCTCTTTGGACATCATGTTTTAATATGGCAATGGGATTTCTTACCTCATCTTGCATTTGTATAATTGGACAATGCTTCTTCAATTTCACTCATTTTATCTTGACATGCTTATAGATCTCCTCTCGATCATGTTTATTTATCCAATTATAATAATAGAGTGAACTACACAAACATGAAGCCAGATCTCTTTGGGATGGACCTCAGAGATTCTGACACATGTTAATCAATGACTCATCTGCTGCCATCAGTGGCTATCACTGATCCAGGATTTCATCATTACTATACTGTCCATTGATATAATTGTTAAATTACTAAAAAGAATTGAAAAGCCAGTTATTCACAAAAATCCAGGAAACGATCTTAATGCTCCTAGTCTGTGTAAAGAACCATCTCATATCAATGTCCCCATTCAATGACTTGCCTCTGTGCTGGACACATTCATAACTCAATATACTATTTCATATTAATTCCATATGTGTCGTTGGTTACATTTGGCCTACATTTCACATTTGTTAATAATGTAGTGGAAAACCTTCAAGAAACCACAAAGCCATGACAAGCATGTTGACTACTACTCACATTGGTCCCAAGATGTAATATGAAGACATGACCAATGGGGTGGCAACCATCGATGAAGTGCAGATTCCCTCGAGAGTGTCTATTCTGAGGAGTACAGAGCAAAGCAGAAGATTAAAAAATGGCACATTCCTGCATCAATCCTTGCTTTTTCTACCTCTTTGTGCTGGACCTCAGAGTTCCAGACACGTGCTATTCATCAACCAAGACTCTCACGCTGGCAGTTGTCAAAGAAGGGCCCACCTCATTTATTTCTACATATTTGTTTACTTGTACTAGCATCAACATTAATTTTTCAGTTCTGGATTATTATTTTAACTCTAGACATTTATGGTGTATAGCATGTAGTACTTCATAATGAAATCAGTGCATAGCTTTGCTTGAATCCTTTATTTAAACTTTCAGTTAATATAAGCAATCACACATATTTCTGTGGTTCAGTTTGTTATTTCAATACATGCACATAAAACGTACTGATCAAATCAGAGTTATGGACATTTCCCTATACTTATCATCTTTGTATTTGGAGCCCTGGGTTCTTACAGTTATTTATAAAATATGTAATAGGTTGTTGTGAATTATGATCATGATTGATTTATTAATTAAATATTATTTGTAAAAGTCTGTGATTTATAAACATCCAAAAATATGTATACAGAATGATGCTCATATGAATGTATACAATTCATTATTATCCTCCACTCTTTGTATATGCATTGCTCAGTATAAAGATTCATATTAATCCAATCATGCTAGTTATAGGGGTCTTGTGGGATTACATTTTATAATTTTCAAACATATACAAACCACCACAAACAAGACAAGACAGATAACTGTTACTCACATTGACCTCCAGGATCCTACTATAGATGCAGCAGGTACTTGATGACAGAGAATTCCTAAGGCGGTTCATGTAGGTCCACTGGGAGGAGTACAAGACAGAACATATGATGAAAAATAAAAGAAAACAAGACTGAGATAATCTCTCCAGTGACTCTTGGATTTCACTGTTCATTTGGAAAGTCATTTAGGCATTTATTAACTATTAAACTATATTTTCTTATCTATTTAAAAAAATTCAAAATTGCCACATACCTAGAACATGAAAATTGTCTGAAACTTCTTCTACCTATGTCAGCCTGCCCAAAGTGGGGAAAAGTCATAGAACATTATCTCAAATGAGACTTCAGTGTTTCCCGTTATACATTAATAGTGTTTCTTAACTCACCACCCAGTTTTGTAACTAAACTATTCTTCACTGACTGATTCATTTTACTTCGGTCTAACTATAGAGGAGGATTCAAAATTTATGAACACAAAGATCAAGATCCTTAGATATTCCTAATAAGTTCTAGAGGGTTCCTTCAGCAAAAACTAGAGTATATCTATCATATGTTGGACTTCAAAGTCCAGGTACATTTTATTCTTTCTCTGTGACTTATGTGTCACTCATGTGTTTTTCATGTGTTTCTACATTTACATTGCAAAGACATTAATTGATGTATACTAATAAAATACAACCAGGATTCACAAAATCCTAAGAACATGATGCTTAAAAAATATAACATGTCTATGGAATCCTTTTGGACACTACTACAACTCTTTCAGTAATTAACTTCTTTGTGGTTCACAATCAACAAATAAACATAATGTTCCAGATCCTATTTATTATTAGGCCATGGTTTATTATGATCAATTTAAATTTTTTTATTCATTTATTCATATGTGCATACATTGTTGGGGCCATTTTCCCCCTGACCCCCGAGCCCTTTCCCTCTCCCCCCCTCCTCACTTCCAGGCAGGACCTGGCAATTTTTAATACTGTGAATACCTTCAATCAATTATAGGAAGGAGGACAAAAATTCTGGATGTTACTCTTAGTGATCTTTTTCTCAATACAAGGGTATGATGGGAAGTCTCAAACAAGGCAGAACTCTTATGTGAGTTTGGTTGCAGCCATTCTGAAGAGTGAGAAGCAAAGAAAATCATAAAAGAAATCACTAAGATATCCATTCCATGCTCTGTATCTTTAATCATGTATTCACATTATCATTTTGGCTTTTATTAAGTTATGAAAATATTTATTAATTTTTCTCTTAATAAAATCAACTTCAAGTTTGCAACAGATCAATTATTGACTATTACCTATCAATATCTAGCTCAACCTTAGTAGAAGATGAAATATACTGAATCAACTTATCACCTATGCCAATTTATGTTAATATTAATTTCTGCCCCACATATTTTCATAACAAACAATGCTTCATACTCTTAGTCTCTGATCACATATACATTTTATAATTCATCCATCCTTGATTCTTTTATAGTAATATTTTTTAAATTCACAAAGAAAAAGATCAGAACTAGGATTCTTCTATATCCTGACATTTGAACATAGGATCCCTTCACAAAGGGGTCAGATTGAGATTCCATTTGGTTTGGACCTCAGAGTTTCAGACACATGGTGCTCATCATATATGACTCACACGCCATCATTTGTCATCATTGGTCCCAGATTGGCCCTCTTCCACCTCATACTGATACAGAGTTTTCTACTGACCAACTAATTCACAAAAATATACCTATGAATTACAAAGTACAAGAATATCCATGAAGACCTCTAAAATACATGTAAGGATAAATTTCATCAGAGACTAAATTCCTCCATGTCCATCCTCAATGTTTCATGTATGAAACAATGCTTCTATCAATCTGATATTAAAATTGGCAAATTTGGGCATTTATGATATTAGAAAACAATTTTTAAAAAGACATTAAATGCGGTTTTAAATGAACTCCAACAGGGACAACAATACTAACTGTTACTCACATCTGTCCCAGGCTCTAACACAGAGATGCATGTCATGGGTTGGCAGCCCCTAAAAAACATGTCAGTCCTGTTGGAAGCATCCAGGCTGAGGAGCACAAAACAGAAAAAATGATAAATAAGATAACCCTCCATGGATCTTTCCACTTCATCTTTTATTTGGACATTCATAATGGAAATCTTTATTTGGAAATATTTATTTCCGTCTGAAATAAATGACTGTGACCTTCCCCCAAAACAACGATTATCTACAATTCAAACTGCCTAAACAATTCTTGGAGAAAGTTAACGATTTTGGAAATCTCTTTGAAATCCCAGTGTATTTAATGTATATCACTAGTATTTCTTGCCTAATTACTTATTTTTATACTTGGACAATGCTTAGCCAATTTGATCTTGATATGTTTATATATTTCTTCTTGATTTGTTTACTGATCCAATTATAATAATAGCTGAAATACATAAGCATGAAGCCAGATCTCCTTGGAATGGAACTCAGAGTTCCAGACATCTATTCATCATCTATAACTCACATGCCACCGGTGGTCATCATCAATCCAGGATGGTATCATTACTACACTACACTGTCTATTCCTATAATCAGTAATGCAATCTAGAACCCCATCATTCACAAAAATCCCAGAAAAGCCTGATGTTCCTCATCTATATAAAGAACCATCTCATACCAATGTGTCTCCTTCAATGACTAGTCTCAGTGTTTCACACATGCAAAATTCAATACACTACTTTATATTAACTCCATGTCATTGATTACACTTGGTCTAATGGGATTATATTTCATACTTTTAGCAATACTGTGAAAGACCTTCAAGAAACAAATCATGACAGGACGTTGACTTCCACTCACACTGATCAACCGGCAACTATGGAACATATGCCAATCCCCATGGAGCTTCCATTCTGAGCAACATAGAACAAAGAAAGGGATAAAAATGATACCTTCTCCAGCAATCCTTGCTTTTCCACCTATCATTGTGCTGGACCTCAGAGTTCCAGACACGAAATATTCATCATCCCAGACTCATACGCCGGCAGCTGTCATTATTGGTCCATGAACAGTCCACCCCCTTCATGCTTATCTACTGTGCTTACTAATGAGTTAATTCACCAATAATTTCTAAAAGCTATGGTTCACAAACACCCAACAGCAACATGGCTATCTGTGGTTTGTGTCCAGAATGACACTGATTTTAATAATCCTCTGATTTTATACATACAGTTTTCATTTAATCCCAAATTTATACTGCAAAAGTGGGTCTTAAGTGATTATATTCCATGATTGTAGAATATAAAGTAAATTGCCCTAAAATACCCACATGAGCGAGACCAGAACAATGAGTATTACTCATACTGAATTCTGGGCTCCTAAGAGAGATTAACCAAAGTGCTGACCATAAAGAATTCTGACATCAGCTCATAGGGCTCCATGGGGAGGAGCATGGAGAAGAACAGATCATAAGAATAAAGAACATAAAAATGGAGGGCTTCTCACCATTGACCCTTAGCTTATGCCTCTGATTTAGAAAATTATTCATGTAATCATTAACTCAGAATGTCTGTTCTTGTGTCTTAGGAAAACAAAACCAAAACTGCCACATGCCTAGAACGTGAACATTCTCTGAAACACATTCTACCTAGATAGCACTTAGCTAAAGAGTCATAAAACATTTATTTCAAATTGGACTTCAGTGTTTTCATAACACGTTAAGTGTTCTTTGACACACTTTCAAATTAGAAACATTCATTAGTTGGTTGATTGATCAACCGTGCTTTAATTGAACAAATTATAATGACAGAAACAAAACCTTTGAATGTGAAGGCTAGGACCAGGTTACTTGAATAATCCAAAAACTGTCTACAGGATGTCTTCTACTGAGAAAATGGACTAATTACTTTCAAGCTAGACACTAATATTTGTACAAGTTTTATTCATATTACAAAACTGATTCAAGATCAACCATCATCATTGGTCTATGTTTTACCCTAATTTTCATTCTTTTCAACACTAGTTTTCATTGTATTCATGTATAAAGGAAACACACAATGCAAAAAAACCTAAGAACATGCTTGCTTGACGTTTCTGACATCTGTGTATAGAAGGCCCCTTTTCCACGTCATACTATGTACATCTCATCATTAGACCTCAGTGTGGCTCACGGTCAATTAAGCAACATGGTGGTCCTCCTTATAGAATTTGGCTGTTGTTAACTTCCTTTTAATGAGCTTAAATTAATTGCACAAAAGGGTTTCATTGTGGTATCTCTATACATGCATACAATGGACTTTGACAAATTCTGTCCCCTCTGTTACACTTTCTTAACCCTCCTTCCTTCTCCCCATCTTTTGAAACAGTATTTAGTAGGTTTCATTATGCTAGTTTCATTATAGATATATATATACACACACACACATACATACATGTATGTATAATGTACTTCAATAATATTCATTCCTATCATCTCTCTTTTCCCCTTCCTCCCTCTGGCCGGTCTCCCCACCAAACAGTCTCATTTTGAAAACATATCTTATCATCATCACTGACATTGTCATCCTCATTTTACTTCTAGATTCCACATATAAGCAATACCATGTAATATTCATCTTTTTTGAGCTTGGCTTATCTCAATGGTGATCTCTAGTTCCATCCATTTTCTTACAAACAACATAATTTCATTCTGATTTATGGAAGAATAATATTACACTGTGTATATCTATCACATTTTTCTTTATCTATTTATCAGTTGTTGGGCACCTGGGCTGATTCCATAGCGTGGTTATTGTGAGTAGAGCTGCAGTCAGCAGGGGTGTGCAGTGTCTCTATTACATTTACTTACATTCCTTCAGATCTACGCCCAGCAGTGGTATAGAGGGTGATATTGAACCTCAACACTAAATTCTCTCGTAACTGCAGTAATTTATATCCCCAAAAACAATGTATAAGAATTCTTTATCCCCCCGTATCCTTGCCAGCTTCTGTGGTTTGTTGTCTTGATAACAGCCATTCTGACTGAGGTGAGATGCAATCTCAGTGCAGTTTCGATTTGCATTTCCTTATGGGTAACGATGTTAGATGTTTCTTTATGTAATGATTGACAATTTGTGTTTTTTCTTTTGAAATCATTTATTAACTTTATTATTTGGGTTTTTTGTGTTTAATTATATGAGGTTTTATATATACTCTGTATATTATTCCTTTGTCCAATGAATAGCTTCCAAAGTTTTTCTACCAGTCTGTGGACCGTTTCTTCACTCTGTTGTTTCTGTGGAATTGCAGAAGCTTTTTAATCTGATGTAATCCCATTGGTCAATTCTTGCTCTTATTTCCCAAGCAACTGAAATCCTATTGAAAAATTCCTTGCCAGTGGCTATGTTTCCAAGTGTTTTGTATGTTTTCAAATTTTGGGGTCTTACATTAAGATTTTTAATCCACTTAAACTGATTTCTGTATAGGGTGACAGATGAGGGTGTAATTTCAGCCTTCCACATATAGATATCCAGTTTTGTCCATACCATTTGTTGAAGAGGCTGTCCTTCCTCCAATGTTTGTGTTCAGCTCCTTTGTGCTAAATTTAAATTGCTACTGGCTGAATAGTGTTCAATTGTGTATCTTCCACATTGCCTTTATCAATTCATCTGCTGATAAGATGCTTAGTTTGGTCCCCCCAACTCAGCAATAGTGAATAATGATGCAGAAGACAGTGCAGCTGTCTCTTTGACATCCTGGTACCATCTTCGTGGCATCTACTCCCAGGAGTGGGTTTGGTGGATCATAGGTAGTTCTGTTTTGGATTTTTTGAGGAACCTCCATATTTTTTTCCATAATGGCTGCTGTCATAAATCACCTCCCCACCAGTGGTGTACAAACATAATCCCTTCTTCACACCTTCACTGACATTTGTTATCTTTTGTGTTTTTGTTAATACCCATACTTACTGGAGCAAAGTGATTTCTCATTGTGATTTTGAATTAGATTTCCCTACTGATTAGGGATGGTGACCATTTTTTTTTCATATAGATTTTGGCCATTTGTATGTATTCCTTTGATAAATGTCTGTTAAGGGAGATAGGTGTAATGGTGTATGCCCATAATCCCAGCTACTTGGGAGATGCAGATAGGGGGAGCATGGTCAGATCATGGCTCAAGTGGACCATGAGTTCAAGTTCCAGCATCAGAAACAGAGGAGGGAGGGGGGAAGAGATATGCCTGTTCAGGTCTGTTGTAGACTTTTTATTCCAACGTTTGTCATTTGTTTGTTGTTTCTGTTCTGTAGTTTTTTGCTACTGAGTCCTCTGAGTTCCTTATATATTGCATGTATGAACACCTTGAGAGATACTATGCAGATCATTATGTTAAAAGAAATAAGCATTGAAAGGCAAGAACCAATGATCTCAGTCATGTGGAATATAAAAAAGTTGAATTCATAGAAATTAATGGAGTTGGAGAGAAGAGTGGTGAAGGACGGATGAGGAAAGGTTGACCCATGGGTATGAACTTCCAGTTAAATTGTACCAAGAAGTTCTGGCATGTAACATATAGTAAAAGTAACTATAGAAAACCACCATGTACTATGTATCTTAAAAAATTATAAAGATATTAAATATTTGTGTTCAAATAATGAAAAAATGATGATGACTAAGGACACAGATATGTTTGACCTGATGAAAACACTATACAATGTATAGCTATACCGAAATATCATATTACCTCACTATAATGTACACTTAGTTTTTATGGATAATGAAGTTTCTTTATTTCTTTCTTAATCTGCTATTAAACCTATCAATAAAAATTCATTTTATTTACAGTTTTCAAAAATAAGTAAATAATAAAGAGTTTGTTAATACTGTCAATACCTGTAATCAGGTACACAAGAAGGACAAGAATATTGATTACTCACAGTGGCCTTGGTACAAAGGCAATGAATTCAAAGGCTCCATCACAGCAGAATTCTTATGTCAATTTGGTGCAGCCATTCTGAAGAGTATAAAGCAGAGAAGGGTGTAAAAACATTGAGACATTCTCTCTACCTGTCTATACTTTTGATCATTCATTAGAACAGACTTATAGGCTTTTACTGGTTTATGGTAATGTTTATTTATTTTCCACTTAACAGAATACTTGCTTTTGACCAAAAGCAAAGACTGACCATTACTTACCTCTGTCTATCTCAGCTTTAGTGCAAAATGTAATGCAGTTGAACAATTTATCTATTTCAATTTTTTAAATCTATAACCTCGGGTTTTTGGTTTTATTTGTATTGACATATATTAAATTGTATATAGTAAGGGGTTTTCATATACTATATTAGCTTCTTAATAGATACTAAGAATATTTTGTGCTTATTAGTATTAATTCTTCACCTACTTCATCTATATGTTAAATATTTCTTTATTCATTCTGCCCTTGTTTCTTATACAATAATGTTTTAAATTCATGAACAAAAAGACCAGAAATAAGACCCTACTATATGCTAGGCATCTGTACATAGGATAGGATGAGAGGGGGACTGGTTAGATTCCCTGGCATTGGACCTCAGAGTTCCAGACACACAGTGCTCATTGTGAGTGACTCACACGCCACCAGTCATCATCATTGGTCCTGATTTGGCCCTCTCACTCTATTGCCATCTACATTGGCTTAATGATTAGTTCACATAGAAAACACCTAAACCAAAAAATACAAAAATAATGGGTGTTCTAAGATCCCTCCCATCCACACATAGATTCAATTAGTCAGAGACGAAATATCTTCTCAACTGTCATCAGTATTTCATTCAGGCAATGGCAACTATACTGCTTCTAACACACTGATGTTAAAATTGGAATATTTAGAATTCTGTGACTTTAAAATACTCAGTTTAATTGCTCATGTTTATATAAATTTTATTAATAATTCATATTTTAAATATGCGTTACTCAAGGAGATGCTGAAGCTTAACCCCACATTTGCACTGGTATCAGTGGGACTTATGAGATTATAATCACACTTTTTAAAAGCATTAGTAATTCCCCTCAACAAACCACCCAACCAACGACAACATGTACAACTCTCACTCACATGGGACGCTAGGCTGCTCAAAGAGATGCTCCTGAGTGCCTGGCCATGGAGAATTCCTACACCAACTCAAATGGTCCATTGGGAGCAGCAGAGAGAAGATTAAATGATAAAAACAAAGACAATAAAAACTAAAACATTCTCTCCTTTGACCCTTAGTTGCATCACTGATTTTGTAAGTGATTTCCACAATCATTAATTCATTGGCATAATATTTTATCTCATATGGAAACTAATTCAAATTGCCACATCTCCAGAAAATAAACATTGGGTGCAATATACAATCTCTATAACATCCTTAGCCAAATAGGGACGAGCAAGGGATTCATTCATTTCCAATGGGACTTCACTATTTTCATAAAATTAATATTGTTCCTTGACTCATTGTTTATTTTTGTAATTAAATAATACTACACTAATTGATTGATTGATCCTTTCACAGATCTAATGATAATGATAACCTCAAAATATGAATACAAAGCCAGAAAAATGATCAATGGATTTCCCTAAACCTGGCTACAAGGTACCTCTTACCATGAAAATAGACAACGTTACTTGCATATTGGGCTTTAGGGTCCAGACACATTTTATTCATGGTAAAGACTCAAACAACAACAGCCATAAAGATTTGTCCAAATTTTGCACTCCTTTTGTTCATTGGTTTATGCATTCTTCTAAGTTACTAATCATTATTAATAATCATTACTAATTATTTCACAAAAAGCCTAAGAACATTATACTTGACAAACTTCATATCTGTGTGTAGAACTCTTTCCACACTAACCTGTGTGCCTTTATTAATGGGCAACTATGTGGCTCATGATCAATAAATAAACACAATAATTCATAACATATATGCCATTCAGTAATGATAAATTTTCAATTTTAGTTCTTCAAGGAGCAATAGTATTCAAATATACCTTTTCCTTCTCCAGTCATCTGTTGGTAGATACATAGGATAGTTCCCCAATGTGGCAATAGTGAGTAGTGCAGCAGAAGACTGTGCACGTGTGTTTTTGATATCCTGGTACCATATTCTTTGCATCTTTGGATTTGTTGGAACATAGGGTAATACTATTTTTAAATTCTGAGGAGCCACCATACTATTTTTAATTATGGCTACACTCATTTATATTTACCTCAGTGGTGTACAAGGGAAAACTTTCTCCCCATCCTCTCCAGCACTTGTTATTCTGGTCTTTTTGACAATAGCCATTGATACTAGAGTGACAGGTATGATTTCCATTTTCCTGGTGATTAGTGGTTTTGACCTATTTGCATATACTTCATGACTTATTCGTATGACTTCCTTTGTGAAAGTTCTAACATTTAATGCCATTTTTCATTCCAATTGTTTATTTGTTTATTTTTGTTCTTACACAGGTACATGGGTGTTTTTTAGTTCATCATATTTTCTGGGTCTGAGCACTTTATCAGATTCTTTTCAACAATAAAAAAGAATGACAAGTTGTCATTTGTAATAACATGGAAGGAAAAGGAGACGCTTAAGTCGAGATAAATAATACAGTCACAGAAAGACAAGAGCCACTGATCTCAGAACAAGGAATATGAACACAATGCACTCATGGAAGTTGGAATGGACACTGGGGATGGTAGAGAGGGAGAAGGATGCAGAGAGGTTGATCAATGGCTCCTAAATTGTGATAGATAGGAGCATGGAGCTGCAGTAAGGTAGGCAAAAAGAAGTGACTACGGATAACAATCTAGAAACATTTATCTTAAAAACATAACAAAGGACACAGAACGTTTGAACAATCATGAAATGAGTTGATTGAACTGATATTTTAACATGATGGAAATTCTTTAAAATGTATACATATGTTAAAACACCACATGGCACTACATTGATTATACATTTTGTTACTATGAAAAGTTAAAATAATAAAGATATCTACTGATCTCTCCTTATGAACCTTTATTTAGCTTCCTCTATTCCTGCCTGAATTAAAATCATTGGTAAATTTCTGATTGCTTTTAAAATAAGAAAAATAATACAATCATAATAATCAGTGAATATCATCAATCATTTCCACAACGAAAATTAAAATTTTCAGTGCTATTCCCCTTGGTCACCACAGAAACAGAATGACACCATGTGGACTGTCATTCACAGCCTTCCCATTCCATTCAGACCCGCCATGATGAAGACAGTACAGCAAGAGCGAGAATGACGTTCTCTCCAGTCACTGAGATTCTCTAATATTCATTAGTGTAGTATTTTAGGCTTTCATTAACTTACGATATTTATTTTTGTTTTCAATAACCTTTAAACTTACAAGGGACCTAGACCAATTCTCCATTATTATATACCAATAGCTAGGTTTTCCTTAGTCTAAATTGTGACATGCTCAATAAAATATATAGTGATTCCAATTTCTTAAGGTACACTGGTGAGCTGGCTGTCATGATACACATTGACAGGACCAGCATTAGTGAAGGGAACAATGTAACAAAAAAGCAGAATCCACTACTTAAACTCATACTATGTATTTTAGTAATAGATAATTATTTAACTTCTTCAACCTACTCATTTATATTTATTTTAACCCTGCAGAAAATTGCTTACTAGTAAATTTTTTAATTAATGAATACAAAGATCCAAAACAAGACTCTTGTATACCTGGGCATCTGAATATAGAACCACACAAAAAATGGCCTGCTTAGATTCATTTGTGTTAGACCTCAGAATCGTGACTCCTTGTGCTCATCCTGTCTGACTTACTTGCCTCCAGTCATCACTGGTCCCGGAATAGTCCACCATCTCTATTGCCATCTATATCAGCGCATTGATTATTTAATAAAAGAAAATGAATAAATAACAAATCAAGAATAACATGCAATAAGATCCCTAAAATTCATTTAACAGATTCAGTTTCACAACCACAAATCCTGTAATTACAATTCCCATTGTTTCATATACAGGAAAATCACTCTAATACCTTCACAACCACCCTCACACACATCTACCATCTTTACTGGCTCATCCATCCATTCACCAATATTATTTCTACACCACTGTCATTTATGCTTTAGAGCCACCCAACTGAGATATATACTAACAATGATACTCCTATTAATATATAAATGTTATCAATAATTCTCAGATTTTATGAATGCATTAATCAAGGTGAACATGTACTCTAACCATTTATTTGCACTGGATTCAAAAGGTATAAAGGATTATATTTTACACGTTTTAAAAACACAGGGAATTACCCTCAAAAAAGCACCCAACACAAGAAAATACGTATGACTCTCACTCACATGGGACACTAGGCTGCTCAGAGAGATGCTCCTCAGAGCTATTCCAGCTACCCCAGTGCATTGATTAATTAAGTGAGCAAAGCAAATACACAGAGAAATACAGGAAAAATATGCACTGAGATTCCTGACAGTTTTTTACAGGTTCAATTAGTCAATGACAAAACCTTGTCATTACAAACCCCATGTTTTCACACATGGAACAAACAAGAAGATGCCTCCATTGAAGTGATACTAAGTTTGGCACGATTCAACTTGCTCGCTATCAGAAATGCCCTTTGGTAATACATAAGATCCCTTCAAATAAACACAGAAGAGACAGAAGGTTGACTGTTACTTAGAGTAGACTAAGGTTCAATCCAGATGGAAGAAGGAGGCAGTGATGAGGGAAGTACAGGTCAATCCCCTCCGGAGAGTCATTCTGAGGGGCACAGAGGAGGACACAGTACACAGAGGAGCACATGCACAATGTGTGAGCACAGATGAATTGGACTGAGGCGACATGTTGAACCTGATTTAAATTCTCTAAAATATGTATGTGTATGAAAACACCACATGACACTACATGGACTGGACACGCTTCGTTACTATGTATCAACGAACGACTAGACATCTATTGATTTCTTTAAAGATCCTTCACTTCATT